ACTTTCTCTCCCTCTTCATAAGGTTTGAACCTTACTTTGCTTTGCTTGACGATCCGATTTATATGTTCTTTGGCAATTTCGTTTTTCAATTGTTCTCTAACTTTCTCTAGATGCTTCTGACCAAAATATGCGTTCATTGTTTCTAGGGAGAAAATCAAACAGAACTTGAACTGGAGTTTCTTGTGTTGCTGCATTAGGCGCTATTCTCATAGCAGAAATTGCCTCTGGTACCTGCAGTGCACTTTGGAAATTACATCCAATCCACGTTAATTGGATAGGCTAACTTCCTCACCGCATTGAATCTGTGTGAATCAACATAGTTTAAGCCAATCTTACAGTCAGAAGTAGTCCATAATAGTCCTTGGTGAGATATTTGATGAGTCTCGTCTCCCTTCAACATGAGTTGCTAAATGTTCTATGATCACACTTATCTGAGCTCCAGTGTCCTTTGCCTTTCCCCCGTCCAATATTCCTCCAATTTTATTTGTTTTCCGCAACAACAGCTTATATAATTCTTTCTTTAGTAGCTGGGAATGTCGTACATCACATCAAGCATCCCAAGTGGCTCATACTCTTATTTGAGACCTCGAAATTTGCAGATTTGCAAGCTTCCTCTACATGTCAAAATCCTGCAGACTTGCAACTTTGACGTGTGAATTTACTGGAAAAATCCCTATCAAAGTTACCCTCGCTGAAACAGGGATAACACCGACTGTTCTGTCCTGCTTTTGTCAAGAGGTCACGATTACCACAACTGTTTCTGAGAATGATTGCTGGGCTACTGTAAGTTCTTCCAACTGAGCAATAATTCCCTTCCCTTCCATCATATCTGATCCCTTATCTTGCCGAGATCTTAACAGTATGACAATTTGCTTCTTTTGCACTTTTGAATACTTCATTTTCCGACAGGAAATGCTTTCTTACACAATGTTTCTAGTGCAAATCATTATGCTTATGGTGTCTACCTTTCTTTCTGCTTGTATTAACTGAATCCAATTGAAATTTGTGCACATATTGTCCCTTCCCAAACCTCCTTATCAATGATTGACTTGCATCCTCGTAGCTTTCTTGATTTCTTGATGAGCCATGTTTTTTTGTTTTTCGTCATGTCTTCACGGTGGAAAAGGCCTCTCATTGCTTCAAATGATCGCTATTATCACCACTGTCCCACTGAGAAACGTCAATACCTGCCAATGTTTCTTGTTGTTTTTAACTGTTGCCACCCGTGAAAGAAGGTAACATAGCTTGTTACAACACGACTTGTTTATTCATGATCTAGACTCAAACTGTGTCTCTACAATATCCGTTACATCCTCACGACCTAACCAGATATCAAAGCAACATGTACCGAACCTTCGACCACTTACCAATACTAACCAGTTACTTAGCAACATAAGAATTTTCCAAATTCACTGACACTGTTTACATTCATTATCACTTCCGGTTTCTACAGTTATCTCCCTTTGACCATAAGTGCCTGAAGCTAACACTAGGCTGTTCTCCAATTGCATGCTGTTTAACCTGCCACTTGTCACTTGCAACGCAAAACATCAGCCTGGGTCTACCATTTAGATTTTGCAGTATCAAGTGTCAACAATGGTCACAAGATGTATTGAGCTATCAGTCTCAAACTTGGGATTCAGTCATGTGCACCGCAGTTAATACCAGGTATAGATTGTAAATAAACACTCGCAACAAAATAAAATGTCTAATCTTTCATTTTAGGTACCACGAGATACCCAAAAGAATCTGGCACAGACTGAACAACCCACTTAAACAGGGCACTAAATTCTCTTTTCAGAACACATAAGCGTTTGCAATTCAAATAGAACTTGATCAATACTAAGCCCATGGAAACCCTCATTTTTGGCATTAATTCATTTTAAATACAATGTTAATTTGCCAATAATTCCAAAGCCAAGTGGAAATTAACCAGAAATATATATATATATATATATATATATATATATATATATATATATATATATATAAGTGTTCCTGTATCATTATTACATATGCTACCAACGTACTCTAACTCCAGTCCGCTAAATACATATATGCAATTTGTAAGATAACAATGCATTGAAGTTCATACTCATACGAAAGTCTTTCTTCACTCATTAATTTGGTTGCTCGGGTAACTCTGTACAGCCAATCAATGTGTCAAAGTGACAGACTGTGGATAAAGCTCAACTGCAATGTGGACTGCTGACACAAGACCTGTGTATTTCTTTTAAACTTTTTCATACATGTATATGTTTGTCATTATGTGAAAACACACAATGATGGGGATAAATTGATACAACTTGTGCTCAAGGCTGATTAGTTCCATCCGACTCAGTTATGATGGATGCGATCGCATGGGAATCAAGTCATAGTTCAGCAAAATACAAACCCCTGGAACAGAGGTCTCACCCTTGAGTCTGTAGAGTCAGAAAGTGCCTCTCCGACCAATATACCCAGGACTGTCACTGAATGTTGAAGTGTTTTCACTAGTTACAAAATCGAGGTTGGATGGCACTTGTCTGTCGACCTGAAACAAGAGTCAAGGTGATTTAGAGGATATGCAACTAGTTTACACTGAAAAGGTGTCTGAAGCATGGAATACAGGTCTCAACATTCACTGACTGCAACGACCATTAGCTGAAGATAGCCACGAAGAGAGAGTGTGGAACCTGCTGGTAAATAACACTGAATTTTGTTGTGTATGACTTAACAGCATCTGAAATGAAGTTGTACAAAGACATCAAGACAGGCAAACGCGGAAAAAACCCAGTAGACCTAACATTTGACTTGCCTTGGGGTCTTCAAGACACATCTATTGGAAATACCGGAGCCAGGTTACTGATGGCAAATATGGTATACGACATGACATACGATACAGGACCAACATGCACTTCTTACAATGTGGCTAAGGTTCTTTAGTGAACTGAAAACACAGAATATGCCTGAAAAGGGAGAATTCGTGAAGCAAATTAATTGGAAGAAGGGTACTGAGGCATGTGAGATGAATATTGTCATGGGTGGCTGAGATAACTCAATGACAATAGCAAGTAGAAAGAAGACTGGGCAAAGTGCATCACAAGCAATCGGCATCACCTGCAAAACAGTAACTGATACGAAGTTCAGCATCAGTGCGCCATTCCAGATTAACCTCTGTTGGACTGGTGCCTGACTAAAAAAGGAAAAGGAATGGGTGTGAAATGTCCCGGGTGGCACCAAACATATTAGCCATCGCTCCATTTTTTTAGATCAATATGGGACAGCACATTGGAAATCAGCTTGCATTACAAAGTAAGCTGAATATACTACTGCTGATGGTAAATTCTAAGTCTGCATATGGAATGGACAAGGCCCTAAACGTGTTAGACCCTATGAGGAAGGTGCAAAGGCCAGCTGATCGAACACACTTGACTGAAGGATAGATTCGGAAAAGCTACAGAGCTGATATCAACTCAGATATGTTCCCAATAACTACTCGTACACAGACAGTAGAGGAAATAAAGGTGATTAGTCACGATGTAAAAGCATGGTGCCGCTTGATACTGAAAGAACTAATGAAGGATATTGCTGGCGACATGAACTTACTTCGTAGTATCTTACACTGATCATGAATTTTCAAAAAAACCTTTAGTTGTTACAGCGGCGACTGCTCCAGATATTGTGTGTGGTGGTGTAACCAACAGCTAGTGACAGCAGTCCGTGTTCCTCGGCTGCAACAGAATTACTCATGTTATAACGGATGACAATGATAAACACTTACTCAATGACATTCTCGAGTTTTAGCTGAGTGTTGAAGTTTTCAAAGAAATGAAACTGTACACAAGCACACAGAAATGTTAAGCCTTAACCCGGTCACTGATTATTAGTATTTGTTTGCCAAAGAATGTGACCTTTTCAAGGAACTTGATCGGTAGGGCTTATTCGTAAGGTCAACAAGTGCCCAAATTGTGTTGTTGAATTATCAAGTCATTTCAGCAAATCGACGTGGAAGTTGAAATTCACAATGGATACCAGAAAAAGCAGACTGATGTGAAACGAAAACGTATGCAGGATGGCGCAACATTTGTGGATAGTGACAGAGGAGGGACTACAAAAAGGGTCAACTTGACCCTTCACCATATTTTAGCTGCGACCCAAAAACAAACTGAACATTAATATTGTCGTAACTGCTTTTGGATTAAACCCGACCCTACTACAATTACCTAAACGGGCAGTTCCGCCCTGATATGGTCAAAAGATGCCATGACTCGTCCGTTCGCCTGGTCAGCCAAGGGTAATTTAAATCACGGAGTATCTGGTCTGTCTGCCCAGACTCCAAACTGTAACCATCAGCATTCATGTGCCGGCCATTATGCACATTGGTCAACACAACACAAGGTTTATACTCACATACTGTACTAACGCTTCAGTCCATCCTCACTATAGAACTTCTGAACAAGACAGGCGAGGCTCGTCACCGAGTGAGAAAACGGACTGATGACAATGTGCCTCAGTCAACCGCAAAAGTCGTAATCCGAAAAAATACCGGAGTCAACGTGACCGATTGAGCATCTCTTTATTGATTCTTTTAATCAGCCTGTTTTGGTTTTTAATGCTGAAAGTGTTCTACCTCTGCTGATCAATTTAAATGGCACCGATAGCATGTGTTTCTTGATTCCCTTCGCATTTATAATGCGCAAGATTCCATTCACCAAGTTGATGCTCATAGCGCTACACTATTATTACCCCGGTCAATGGATCAGTGAGCACTCGATTTTCATTCTCAGCTCCCTGGAGAGTATACAATCCAAGCTGCCTGTGAGGCGCTAGAAGGTTATCATTTGCATTTGAAACTTATAACACTATTTTAAAAAAAGTGAAAAGTGAAAATGTACATTAATGTACATTAATACATGATTCACATCCATCGGCCTTCAACTTGGGTCACATCATGGGAAGCTGATGTCATACCATGTATACTCGGACTCCGTGGTATCGCGGCATTCATCGTATCGCGGCATTTGTGATTTCCGGTAGTTCACGCGGGACACGCCTCCTAGCGGCTGTTTACATATGCAAATCATCAACCAGGAAGTCTTCGCCTCGTAAACAATTGCAATTTCTGCAGAATGTTCCGTCTACTGGTAAGTAAGCATTTATAGACAGATTGATACTTAGTTCTGGCATGTTTTGAAATAGTGCCTTACCCCTATCTTTCAAATGACTTCGATATAGCCCGCTTTTTCTCAAGTAAACTTTCTCGGTCGACCTGAACAAGGTCGTCTGCATATTCATGTTGACAAATAAGGTAGCGGAAGTGACGTAGTCCACACATTTGTTTCCGCTAAGTGGTCAGAAATGTATGGTACATAATAAGGGCCATAATGCCATATTTACCAATACGTTCCTGACTTGGAGCCAAATATGATACATAATGTTGTCATAAAAGGAGTGGTAAAATTCGAAAAATGTGTATTTATAGTTTTCTGTATTGCGTTTTATGTATATATTTATAAGTTTTTTTAAACAATTTTTTTACACATTTTTTCAACTTTTTGGATTAATAATGTTTATTCTTTTTTAATAAAAATCTTACAATATTTTACTCATATTTGTTGTTTGTTTTTTGTTTTATTACTTTTTGGGGGTAAAATGGTAAGAATGCATGTATACCTATTAATTATTGCACAGACTAAATTCTACTTACCTTTTCCCTCTTCAGGATAGCAAGACTGTTAAAGTAAGGAGGCAACTAACTTTTCAGCAGCCTAAGACAGTTAAAGTTAGATGCCAGTATGATGCTGCCAATTTGCAGCGTACATTTGATGCCACTCGCGATGGAATTTCAGTATATAGTGCATCTCGTTTGTATACAGTTCCGGAGTCAACTCTTCGAGACAGAACAAGGGGTAATGTTCCTGTCCATGCCAAGCCCGGTAGAGAGACGCTTTTGCAGTGACATGTGGCAGAAAAACTAAGAGTGATAGACCTCTTAGTGACAACTGGTTTTATGGGTTTCTAAGGCGATGGCCCGAGGTTAAACTTGCCAAACCCCAGAAGCTATCCATGCTGAGAGCACAATATGCCTCCCGCGAAGCACTGCGTTCCTACTTTAAGGAGCTGGCCACTATTTTGACATTTAATGAACTGAGAGAGAATCCAGAAAGGATCTACAACATGGATGAGACTGGGATCAGTACTGAGCATGCCCCTCCTAAGATCGTCTGTGACTCCACTTCCCAACCACAAGCAGTAACATCGCCAAGATCTTCCACAGTTACCGTTATCGGTGGTGGTAATGCCATTGGTAACCACATTTAACTCTAGTTGAATGGGCCAAGAAGCACAACGTCATTTTGTTTGTCCTGCCACCACATACCAGTCATATCACCCAGCCTCTGGATGTTGCAGTGTCCGGGCCCTTTAAATCTATGTACAGCAGGGAATGTCAGTTGTATCTTCAACGGAATCCAGGTGTGAAAATCACCAAATACGAGGTTGCCAAGCTCACAGCCAAACCATATTTGAGGGCAATGTCTCCAGATAATTTGGCGTCAGCTTTCCGGAAATCTGGGATTTATCCTTTTTCCAACAAGACTATTGAGGATCTGTCCGTAGCACCTGCAACTATATATCCTCACTCAGACAAAGGAAATCAGGAAAATGAAGCACCTCTGGATGCTCCACCTTTGGAATCCACGCATGAAACCCCAGGTAGCCGTTCAGATGTTACACCACCAGTTCAGGTTCCTTCAGCTTCCAGTACAAGCCAGTTTCTTCAAGAGAGGAGGATCACAAAAGTCTTCTGTAAACCTAAAAAAAAAATTTGTGCCACCGTTCCTGACTGGAAATCTTCTGAAGCAAAAAAATGTTGAAATTATGCAGTCCTCAAAAAGCACAAAAAAGCTACAGAATCAAACTAACATTCCAGCAAAAAGTACACATTTGAAGAGATCTGCTACTACTTCGACTAAACGCGCTGCCTGTGTCAAGCATTCCAAACCTACAACTCCTCAGCCAGGTCCATCTTCATTTTGGGTTTCATCTCCTGATGTGTCTGATGATGATTCAGAGAACTGCTGTGTTTGTGGCAAGAACACCCCACCAGGACTAAGGTCGTGCCCTTATCTGGTGATTCTCAAGTGGGCTCAGTGTGACAAATGTCAACACTGGACACATCTGTCATTTTGTGCAAATACCACATTTGTAAGGCGTCATGGTGAATTCTAGTGCCCCCACTGTGTTTAAACTGTTTCCTTGGTGACTATTTAACTGTTAACCTATTTGCTCCATTGTTCTAGATTTTGCGAAATTTCGGGACTACTGAACTTTTTATGCATTTTCTTCCTTCATGCTGTCTTTGCACTTGTCTGGATGAATCACGAAGTCTGGCATCATCATACTTTGTGGCAGGTAAAAATTTGTCATATTTTTGTCTGATTTGGGCCTCCATACACAACTTTTCCCTTTACCGCGATACGATAGAGTTCTCTCCCTTGTCAAACTGAGCGCGAGGCCCGGCTTTTACTCGGCGCTACGAATGGAAATAATGAACTTTTATCAGTAAAATGTGCACATTTAGATGAAATAAATGACGTATGATACAGAGAACACAAATAATCAAAAAGGTTGGTGAGTGCATTTTGTTCCGTTCAGCGTACATGACAAGTACCGCGATACCCCGAGGTTGCAGGCTACATATTGTTGATAAAAAGTCGGACTAAAATACAATGTCTAATCTTTCATTTAAGCTATCACAAGTCACTCAAAAGAAATTGGCACAGACTGAATCGGGTTGAGATTTTGTTTGATGTGGGGCAGGTGTTTAGGTTTCAGTAGGTAACATGCATCTTTCGTACACAAGCTCATCCTGAAAAGACCGGATCTCAATGCAACCTGTTAACGAAAGTGGACGATTTAAAGGGCATGGTTTAGTGTCGCTGTAAATATTTACTTCATGTAAACTAGCATGTGTATTTTATAGAATTATTATTGATAGCATGTACATATATTGCTGAAACAGACCATTTCCACAATACAACTCACTGTTGATCATAAATGATGATGAAATGACATTGGGGTGAACATGCATACACAAACTTATATCAATCTCATGAAAGACGAATGGCATTACGCGGTAAAATCGGTGATCATATTGAGAGATATAACGTCGAATACAATGTCATTGCATTTAATATGATCAGTTCTAAGATTGAATTATAAATTTGTTCCAAGTATGTGTATTATACAAAGCATACTATATAAGTTCACAAAATAAATCTGCAATAAGAAAGTAAGCTGTTTCAAGGATATCCTGCAATTGATATTTTTCACCAGCCTACCACATATGATGCCACAATTATCAGTCATTTATAATACTAGTCATAACAATTCAATAATGTTTTAACAGCTGTAGTTATGGATATATAACATTGATGTTACATACAAGTATTTGTGCTGAAGAACGTTTAATATTTGGGCAGGACAGGAAAATGTATATTGTCTTGATGTAATCAAAACCAGAAACTGAACTAGAGCTAGGGATATGCATGCATTCTCACATTGGCTTTGTAAACTCACATATAAATATATTATTATAGCAAATTATAAATGTTGATATACATGCATGTCCAGGTAAAATGGTCAGGAAAGAAGGACACATGGAAACAGAGCATGACCTGCAACAGCCTCAAAATTCATTTAACAGAGCACAAGCAACAGGTAAAACTTGAATATTTCAACATATATCTACATGCAACTGAAGAAACTTTTCGATACTTGGCACTGTTACCATAGCTCTGGGTTGATTTACAGTAAACAAGCACAATGACTTAAAGTAAACCCCTTACTAAAACCTATACTCGGATAAATCATAGGATCTGCAGCCCTGGTAGAACCTTGTTTAGATTGATTTCTTGTGCAATAGCCGGCCCACAATGTAAATGCATATATCATCCATTCATACGATGATTAATAAAGGGTAAGTATCTGTGTTGATGTTTAACTTATTTCTTGATATTCTGATTGGTTTTAGGCCACTATATATTCATTATTTTGCTCTCAGATACAAAGGTTAGTAGCTCGCGGACGAGACAGTATGCCCCAGTTTATGGATGCATCTAATACTTACAATAGAAGGAACTGCTTTCTTTCCATGAGCAGAAACAACATTGGATCAACGCTGTTGTGTGACCGCGAATTCTCTCCTGCCAAATATTTTCCTGATGAGTGCATGAGATGTATTAGATTTCGTTAGGTATGTTTGAACGTAAAATCCTAATTGGGAAGATATTATTTCTGTTTGGATATAACGTAAGTGCATGTATGGGATAGGGTTGAGGGTTTGGGAATTAGCCTGTTTTGTCCAGTGTTGTTGGCATGGTTGTATGTAGCATAGCAATTCCCGTTACTACAATTATATATAACCCTAAGAGGTAAATGCATGGGTAAAAATAATGATTGTCTCACGAAAACCGCCACTAAATTATCTTTTCATGTCGCCATCTTTGTATCTTGTGACCCTGTCTGTATATTATCACTGTTGTAAGTGTATTTATTCTTTTTGTGCAATCGTCAGGACGTATATGGCAAATGTTAAACCCATTTTAACATAGGTAGGATACCCTGGTGGTTCAAGCGTTGTTTATCAGGCAGAAGACCCGATTCCAGTTCCACACATGGGTACACCGTGTGAAGTCAATATCCAACTAAGACCACATTCCTTGCTCACGTAAACAAAATGATCATTACATCTGTATGTACATGGCTGTTATATATATTCATATAGATGAAGAAACAGGGATGGATGCAGCACAGGGCCCTGAAATAGTTGGTTTTGTGAGTGACAATTTGTTATTACATGTAAGGCATTAGTAAGGCATTAGTACCATTCTCAGTGTCTCCGAGCACTGCATGTGCCCTTTTGTGACACCAATTAAATGCAATATATTAAATATAAATGTGAACATTCCACATTGAAATATATTTTACACATGAACTATCATGAATTCTATATTGCCTTTCAAAAGAATTTCTGTCAATGAACATGTTATTGTAAGTTGAATGGTATACTAGGCTATATATCTTATGTACATACCACGCTTTCTCAGTGTCCTCTAATTAGCACTGAGTGCTATAAACGATTGTCAGCACGACCCCAGAGACGTATATTTTCATTCTGTTTTCACCTTCAGATGGAAACTGATCAAGCTCAGAGTAGAGCAGGTAAACAAGCTTACCATGAAAACCATGTAACGTGAAGCAATAATTAAAACAAACTACATCATGGACTATTCATTATGCATATAAGTAACCTTTTATCGTCATTTGAATGGAACTTAGAATAGTTTCCCTGCTGTCAGCTATACTAAGATCTTCTCAATTCTTCCCAGATGACAGTGCACTTGGTTATTCCACCGACACCTCAGCAAGTTCTCAAGAGCCCAACATGGAACATGTGTACCAACCTACGACTGAGGACTACACTCGTTGCATGGCGCTGACTATCATTTCCATAGCTGCTTATATGTATATGTGTGTGAGGAGGAGGGTCGAAATACCCTGGCAACCCCCGAATGGCAATAATGACAATGAGGTTGAAAACTTTGCAATTAACTATGATAATGCATCACAAGAAGAAACGGGTTATTGGTCCCTTGACGAAGATTTCAATCCCTTCGACGAAGAGTAGTCAAAATGCACACTTGATGGAGCAATACACCTGGGCATACATGTATGTCTCTCATCCTTTAAGTTTGCAGATTTGAATATTGCAATTAAACTACCTCCTATATGTATCTACCTCAGATAATCTATTTTCTTTAGATTTCTACCGCATTGAAATGAGTAATTCAATAAATAAATCTGAACGTTCTGTGACTGGAATTCTTCATATACAGTTGATGTGAAAATTCTGTGAAACGTCTGATGTGTTAGTTTTCCTTTCCATTTTGAGGTGAGGTGAAATTGGTTTAACGTCGCGTCCAAGATTATTGCACTTATATAGCGACGTGCTTGCACGTGTGTGTGTGGCTGCTTGTACTAGTCCGGACTGATGCCGATTTATAGTGCTAGCTCACTGAGATACCATGCCGCAGTTTAACATGAATACCCCACTCAGACACAGTATACTGACTCCGAGCCGACCAGTCCTTGTTTTAGCCCCTTAATGCCGAGCGCAAGACAGGGTAACAACAAGTACCATCTTTTAACGTCTTTTGGTATGACGCGGCCGGGAATCGAACCCCGGACCTTCCGCTCTCCGGGCGGACGCTCTACCACTAGACCACGGAGGCTGCCCTTTCCATTGTCATTGATATGTATACAATAATAACTATATAACAAAACAAATACTGAGGCATCATCATAACGTATATTCATGAATATTAAAATGTTATATATCGATAAAATGTAAGAAGCATTTTTTTCTAACTCAGATATCTATATCAAAGAGATGGGAATTCATTCACGTCTTATTGCCTCGGAGATATTCGTATCTTATAGTCACAGGGGAAGGGGCGGAATCACAACAAAAAAACATTTCACAGAGCTGGACCGCAACACTTTTTAGTGACTTCGAATTACACGTGTAATACGCTCTTCAGGGGAATGAACTATCAGGACAGTGTGCCTGAGAGTACTGATAGTATATCAGCGTGATGTCAGCATTTATTAACTATTACATAGTTTTTGGTGATGGAAATGATATATGATCATTTAGCAAAATAAGAAGTGATACGATTAATTACTTATTTACTATTTAAAGGCAACTGAAAAAAATCATGAAATTACAGCAATATGTGACAGTTGTATAGTTTCTAGAATCTTCCCTGTTCTTAGTTCCTTGATAACTCGAATTCGATTATCTCGATATAGTCTTTAATATGATTTATCACGTAATACTCTATGTATCTGCGGAGCGGACGCTAGCGTCCTTTTCGAACAGGATAATGGAACTAGCCCAAGGCCCGGTCAGTAAGAGGTAATACAAATATTACGACCCTCGGTCTTGGGATGACACCGGGCATGATATGGGAATCACAAGGTGATATGGGGTGTCACGGAGTTGTGCTCCAGACACCAGGGTGTCATTAAACATGAATAAAGTAAAACAGCTAATGTTATCAATAGACGACAATATAAATTTACACAAACCAATTTACACTGACAATGATCACTGATTACACAAGCTGATTAGCTAAGCACCAGTATAGCAGTAATAAAATGAGTGTAGATGAACCAACTACTGGGAGTTTAAAAACTTAACACTCTATTGAAGAATAACCTCAGCTGGGTTAAATAGCGGGAAATAAACACAGAGTGACAATCCAAGTCTCTTGGATAATAAAATAGACTTAAACGCCTTAATATAAAACTATTATTATAGACTTAAGACACTTTGAGTGGGCAAGGAAATTCTAAACTTCCAAAGATATAAGGTACTTGACCTACTGAGTATCTAGACACGACATCGTTGAAAAGGTACTTGACTAAAAGAATAACTTGACTAACAACAATAAATAATAACTTGACCTATGATAGACAGTCACGGGAGAGTTGGTTATCCAGGGATTGCTCGAGTAGGAAAACCCTTAGCTAGTAAGTTTAGCACCATACAACCAGAGTGAGTCAGGACTTGATAAAAACTGCCACGTAATCACTTATGAACGAACCCCGAGTTTTGTATGTCCACCCAGTAGTGAAACCTGGAGGGAAAGACACATGCTTTTGCCAAGGCTTTTAACCAATTTCTGTTTCCTAACAAAAGGAAATCCCGAATAGCAAACAAACTACTAAACCAATACGGAAGATGTACGTACCAAAGTAAAGCGCTGAGTATAAGCTATTTAACCATAATAACAAAGATTTACAACCCGATATTTACAATTATTGTAATGGTAAAAAGGACCATATATACATGAGAAATACCTATAAGTACAAGAAAATCGCGCCACTACGTGAAAATTATAAAAATATTTTCAAAACATAAATTAGGTACCAAACATGTATGATGTAACATATATCAAATCATGCAATGATAAAAGTGTGTGATTAATTTAACCGCTAGAGAAAATAATTTACGGGTTACCAATTCACGAACAATGAATGGTCAAGGCACTGGACAACGATGACCCACAGACTGTACCGAATGGTGACGGAAGCCGGACAATTAAAGGAGAGGAGAGCGGCGAGCATGCGTTCACGAGACCGTGCTGTAGACTAGTTTTACGACCCGGCGACATGTGGGTCTTTTCTCTTATCCTATGTCCGATTGTCTCAAACTACGGATAACTCGACAAATATTCAATGGTCCCCGTAATGATAAAACGCGCTGTTTATGATAGTCGCAAACTGGCATGTGTATGATATGTTTGTATGTTTAACGCCGCAGCCACGACGATGGCCCAGCCTTACGGTAGACGCGCATACGCTTGTCCCTCCTCATGTTCTGTATATCCCGACCCGATTTGTCTTTGTGCGCGGTATCAGGTATCTTACAACGAACTGAATTCGACTGAAGCACGAGTAACTTATCAATGAATTACAATCAGGAACGTAGTCCGTCATAATTTGACCTTAGGTCATCACCATTGAATAGCCAATCACGCACCTGGAATTCGATCTCACACATATGTTTAATACAAGTCACTGAAATGGGTTTCTCTCCCACAGGTGTATTAGAAACAATATTACAGTCCCCAGGGGTACGGACTAACAAGGTTTCACTTGTGTACAGATTCGGTCACTCCTTTCTCAGTTAAAATAAGGGCTGAATAAAATACAGAATACATTAAGTAGCGTGGAATACAGCAAATACTTAAACATGTATACAATTCATATACATTTAACATTCACTAACATACAGAACAGTGTATCATGTGCATGGGTTTATATTGGATATATACCGACCTGTTCCGACCATCTCACTCTGCTACGTATCACCAGTAACCCAGTGTCTTAAAACCATCATGGCGGTAACATCCTCAATTGACGCAACAACCCACACAAATGAATATGCTTTCCAGGCCGATAAATATGCAGGTCGCTCTATTTCCGTGACGCTGGTCCCATATGCTTCGGGTCATATTATATATGTTATCAGGAAACCTTAATGCATGCGGCGTTATCTGATTGGTTATCTGACATTACTTCCCTGTAAACGGGAAAACACGGTTGGAAAAATGCTACAGTTAGAAATGAAAAACGAAGACATGAAAATTGAACCGAGGCGAGCGGGAAAATACAGGCGAGCGCGCCTGCACGTTTGCTGTTTCATTCACCTTCGGCCTTCGGTTTCAAAGGTTTGTTTGGACAATGAATATGCATGAAGGTCGCTAAATGGCATGTGCATGACGATACACATGAGCAGAATGGGAATTCCTTCGACTGTAATATTGGGATTCCCTGACATTCCGCAGTAATAAAAGTAGTGCGCCTCGGTGGGCTTGGCTTATCTTTTTACATTCATTGGGAAATGAATGCAATAACACGTGACCAGTTCAACTAATCAGAATGTTAGAATTTCAATGAACACAGAGAAAATTTAATTATATGAATATGAATAAACCAGCAATGTTAGTAGTTATAATTCAACACTTTATTACTGATAACTTAAAGATCTAGCTAGTTAAGTAAAAAGTTATTACGACAGTCACTTACATGTCTAATATGATCATTGACTAAGTGTGTGAGCGCGGTTTGACGCCGCTTTTTGCAAGATTACAGATGTATAACGGCGGGGCACAAACATTACATTCTACGCATGCAACCGGAAATGACGAGAATCTTTGAATCACTTCTTTCAATGATAGGCTATCCACCCACCTTTCACGTACAATGATACAACTTCACAACAGAATTGGCTATAGTCTTCACCGCTTGAAGTAAAACCACAGGCCACTGCGAGCGGCCATGTGCAGCAGCGTGTGGAGCATGCGTACATAACCAGCACGGAAAGAAAGACGTAACATCTAAAGTGCCATTCACCATATTCACTCCTAAATACACCTGCTCGAAGTTACCTGACTCGATTCTTACCCGGATTGTAACCACGTGATCAAAACACAATGATTCTGTTTATCGCACGGCAAATGGACATTTCTTGAAATTTCTTGCATTTTTCGTCATTTTGCCATTTACCGGCGGAATGGCTTGTTTTCACTATTTAAGAATTAGCACACATGCAGCTATCTTCATTAATTAATCATCGCGATATTTCGTGATTCTGTTTCAAGTGGCGAGGGCTATAGGACCGATTCACTCGTAGGATGATGTTTTATTCATGACGGGTTAATAACCCCATTCGAATACCCTGTAATCAGAGTATGCTGGACTATTTATATTTGGTGTGTGAATTTTTATACGCAGCAATTTCTACTTTTTTCAGTGTGTTATTATATTGACATTAGCTTTTGGTATCAGTTCAAAGATATAATATACAATAACCCTGATACTAAACGTAACAATTGAACCATCATTCCATCCGTGACCAAACTATTAAAAAAACAAGAGCAAATGTCTGAACAGCATACGTTTGAAGAGCAAATGTGTTTGACTGTGGAACCTCCATGATTGTTTCAAAAAGTTTCTTTTTTGGTTAACGAATCACTCAGCAATATTCCAGCTATTTGACGACGGTCTGTAAATAATCAAGTATGGACCAGACAATCCAGCGATTGACATCATGAGTATCGATCTACGTAATTGGGATACGATGACATGGATCAACCTAGTCAATGAGCCTGACCACCTGATCCCGTTAGTCGCCTCTTACGACAAGCATAGGTTGCTGAAGACCAATTCTAACCCGGATCTTGGCGGGTGATTTTGTCAAGGAGTATGTAAAGTTGTAACCATGATGTTTTATATACTATC